ACCCGCTGTGTTTTTTTCCTGTAGGCTGACAGCATGTCTGTATCAGTGTGCGCTGAGACACACTTCCAGCCGTCTTACCGCTCCCGTCTTTCATTCATTTCCCTCTTTACTACGAAACAATTCACACACACGCCTATTGCTTCCAGGCAAATGGATAGTAACAGCTTTGGCGGGGAACGCAAACAAAAGCCACGGAGCCACTTCTGCCCGATTCATTTCGGCATCATTAGTTTTGCGTGACAAAGAGAGCCGCATGCTTGATGTATGATAAATTATGCTAATCACATTCGACTCGAGCAGCATGTAGGCTGGAGGCCGGTTAACCCAGTTAACCCAATCAGTGCAGCATGTGTGTGATTGTGTGCACAGAGACAATAGACACAGCTGATTGGTTTGCACAGCATCTAAACCCATTTTCTTTTCGTTCTATCTTTCCTTACCTGAGACGATGGCTCTGGTACCGCTTCCTCTTGCCGTCTGATGGGCATCTGGCGAGAAGTAGCCTCCCTGTGAGATGGGTGTACCCTCTTTCTCCCTCTCCCGTGGGCCACTCAGCTCTGCGTCTCCCCTGCTGTGAGGGGGTGTGTGTCTGAGCGCATGTGTGTGCGGAGGGGAAGTCGCACTGGGGAGCTCTGTGTCTCTCTCCTCTCTGCTTAAATACCCTAGTCTTCCCCTCCGCCCACTCTCGTCGGCCACACCCTTGCTGTACGCCGATTGGCCGGGCAGCTCTGCGGGGGGCGGGGACTGAACATCAGGTGTGGGTCTTTCCCCACTCTCTGTAAGACTGAAGTATCGAACTCCTCTCTCATAGGACGGAAACGGAGCAGAGACCACCTGATTGGGTGAGGCCTGAGTGGTGGGTGGAGCTGCAGAGATCCCCATGCGAACATCTGCGGTCATTGATGGGGAAGCACTTATCACTGTGGCAACAGAGGCCTGGGCGGTGACCGCGGTAACAGAGCGGACCAGCGATGCAGAGAGAGGCTCCAACTTCACGCTTCCATTTTGCAGCTGGAGAGATAGAAAGAATAATTATATTTTCAGA